AGAAGAAATTCCAGGCAGCAATTTCATATGACTTAGAGTCTTTGGGCTGGTAAGATCCTGAAAAACAGGGTGTGAACCAAGCTGGCTAAGACTGATTGGATCCAACATGTCACTGGATTTGACCTAGGTTTCACCTAGGACCTCATTATGTGCTCATTAACATACTAAAGGTCAGGGTCATGCTGAAACAGCAGCATGCTGAAACAGGTCAGGGTCACTGGTCTCGTTGTCTAATGTGTTATCCGAGCTCGTAGTCTCACAATCAAGAAAATTAAGGAGTATGGACACAAAGAATCAGGTTGGAGCAAAAGTTTAATAAGCAAAAGAAGAAAAGCTGAATTCAAAAGCTTTCATAAGAAACTGCTCTCATGTCTGTGTTTGAGGAATTTATCTATAAAACTGTGTGCATAACTCCCCTTTATCTATGTAGTTATGGGTATGTCTCTAGATAAGCATTAAATGAATTTTTTTTGTTTGTATAATTGTGGGTTTGTTTAAAGTAAGCCCTCCTCCTCCCTGTGCAAGTTTCCATGGAGCCCACTGTGTACATGTCTGAAAGGGGGAGGACACTTCCTGGGCGCTCGCTAATCATACAAAGAACAAAGGGCTTCTATGCTGGACTTTTCCTGCCTTGCCTGCTTATCTGTGGCTTATCTGTGCAGGTGCACTGTAGCTGCGATTTTTTCAGGCAGGCACCTTACACAGTCTGAGTTTTTCTCCAAGCTGCACTATCTTGCCTGTAGCTGTTGATTTTTCCAGCAGGCAGCTTTTCTGAGGACCAGCCTTAACTGTTTACCTAACTAATTTTTCCTTTTCTTCTCCCTCACTATGACAGTTCCAGGAATACCTATATTTGATATAAAAATGGGTGGCACCACAGTTCTGATGAATCTCTACCTTTTTCCAGGAATTTTCATGAATATTCCATTCCTTGGTTAGAGAAACACATAAAGGTAGCAGCCCCAAACCCCACTGCATGACATTCTCTCAAGTACATCTGCACTCCTTTTTCTTACCTTTTTTCTTTGCAATAAATTTCTTTACTTTTATTATTTTTCGACTTGTCCTTGAATTCATTCTTGTGACGGTATCAAGAGCCTAGACATTGGCTAGGATAGAGGTCCACTGGTGTTTGGGGACTTCCCCCAGTCCACCAGTATCACACCATGCCATGGTCACTAATACTGGCTCAGAATAAGCCTTTAAAAAATATTTGACAGGCCGGGCGCAGTGGCTCACGCCTGTAATCCCAGCTCTTTGGGAGGCCAGGTGGGTGGATCACCTTAGGTCAGGAGTTCAAGACCAGCTTGGCCAATGTGGTGAAACCCTGTCTCTACTAAAAATACAAAAATTAGTGAGATGTGGTGGCGGGCGCCTATAACCCCAGCTACTCAGGAGGCTCAGGCAGGAGAATGGCTTGAACCTGGGAGGCAGAGGTTACAGTGAGCCGAGATCACGCCACTGCACTCCAGTGTAGCTCTAGGCAACAGAGTGAGACTCCATCTCAAAAAAAAAAATAATAAGCCGGGCATGGTGGTGCACGCCTGTAACCCCAGCTACTCGGGAGGCTGAGGCAGGAGAATCACTTGAACCTGGGAGGCAGAGGTTACCGTAAGCCAAGATCGCACCACTGCATGCCAGCCTAAGCGACAAAGGCGAAACTCCATCTCAAAAAATAATAATAATAAAAATTAAAAATAATAATATAAAATAAAAATATTTGACAAGGTTTAGTTTTTCCATTAACACATATAATTTTGATTTGTCCCATTAGTGATGATTGGGTTGCTTGATTAAGGTGTTTCCCACTAGGCTTCTCCACTGTAAAGGTATTCTTTCTCCTCTTTTTAAGTACTTGGTGGAAAGGTACTTTGAAACTATATAAATATACTCTTCAACATCAAACTTTTTCTTCATTTATTTATACTCATGCATTATTTCATTTAATACATCATTTATTATCTTAGAATGGACTCAGATTTCCCATATTACTCATCGGGTTATAACTATTATAACCTGTTACCATTTATTTTGATGCTCAAATTGTCCCAGATTTGGCCAGCAGGAACCCCTTCAAGTTGGCTTCAGTGTCCTTTTGACATATTCCCATAATTTTTTAAGCCTTTCCATTTTTTCTGGCATAAAAAGATGATCTAGGCTGATATTGTCCTTTTTTTTTTTTTCTGCCCCAGCCCTTGGAATCAGCCCTGGTTCCTTTTAAAGAATGATTTTTAGAAAACAAGATCTGGATGCTAGATATATTCTTTGGCTTTGAAGTTCCCCATTCCCAGATCCTCTCATGGACAGAGCTTGAGAATGTATGTACATATGTGTGTATTAAAATATTTAAGTATGTATACATATATACAAAATACATATGCATATCACATATTTTCATATCTATATGTCTATTACGTATGTATGTATTGAACATATGAGTTTGCACTGTTAACTCCAATTTCAATTTGTCACCACAGAGTTCATTCTAGTTTTCATCTTTTCCATGTTTGCGACTTTGTTCTCTAACAGTAAGAAACCTGGCTCCCATTCTCCTTAGTATATTTATTTATTTGATTAATTACCCTGTATGCAACATGGCTTCCATTGCTACGTCTCCTTTTCTCAAGCAATGCCCTTCTCACTCAATTCAGGCTCCAACACTCGGTGCTGGGCTGCTGCTGCACCTCCACTTAGAAGGCCTCTCGACTCTGCTTATGCTCTCAGATCCTGCAGTGGGCCACTCTGCCATGTAGAAGTCACCCTCACCTTCCCAGGGTACCAAAACATGGCACAAAGCTGTCCCCACTATGTGGCACTCTCCCCATCCCACTCAGATTCCAACCACATGTCAAATGACCTCCCCAGTGTGTGAGGACACCCTCCTTATTCTGCACTGAGCTGTCCCCTTTGCATGGATACTTCTTCAACCCTGGTGTCTAATACCCTGTCCCTGGGCTGCCTTGATGTGCAAATACCCTCTTCACTCCTAATTAGGCTCTGACACCCTACACTGGACTATCCCCCTATGTTGACACTCTCTTTAACTGGCTCAGGTCCCAGTGTTCTGTGATGGATAGTCCCCACCCCATGTGGCTATCCTATAAGCCACACTCAGGTTTTGACACTCCAATGTGGCTACTGAGCACTTGAAATAAGCCTAATCTTAACTAAAAATATATTGCAGGTATAAAATATAACCAGATTTAAGAATATGAAATACTTTATTCATAATTTTTTATATTGATTATATATATATAAAATATTTTAGATATACTGGGTTAAATAAAATATATTATTATTATTATTCGAGACGGAGTCTCGCTCTGTCGTCAGGCTGGAGTGCAATGGCGCGATCTTGGCTCAGTGCGATTTCTGCCTCCCAGGTTCAAGAGATTCTCCTGCCTCAGCTTCCCGGGTAGCTGGGATTACAGATGCACACCACCACACCCAGCTAATTTTTGTATTTTTAGTAGAGACGGGGTTTCACCATGTTGGCCAGGATGGTCTCAATCTCCTGACCTCGTGATCCACCCACCTTGGCCTCTCAAAGTGCTGGGATTACAGGCGTGAGCCACCATGCCTGGCCAAATAAAATATACTATTATTTTCACCCATTTCTGTGTAGTTTTTTTCAATGTAGCTACTAGAAAAATTTAAATTACAAATGTAGCTCAGATTTTATTTGTTCTACTGTTCTAGAAGTTTCTGGATTAGTGATGGGAAATCAAGAGATCAAAAGACTAAGGACTTGATGACATATATGCCCTCCTCTGAGTAAGGATGGAAACTAAAAATCCTTGGCTAGCTCTGCAGGGGTGTCCAATCTTTGGGCTTCCCAGAGTCACATATAAAATTAACACTAATGGCCGGGTGCGGTGGCTCATGCCTGTAATCCCAGCATTTTGGGAGGCTGAGGCAGGCGGATCACCTGAGGTCAGGAGTTCGAGACCAGCCTGGGCAACATGGTGAAACCCCATCTCTACTAAAAATCCAAAAAATTAGGCGGGCTTGGTGGTGGGTGCATGTAGTCCTAGCTACTTGGGAGGCTGAGGCAGGAGAATTGCTTGAACCTGAGAGGCAGAGGTTGCAATGAGCCGAGATCGCACCACTGCACTCCAGCCTGGGCAATAAGAGCAAAACTTCGACTCAAAAAAATGAAAAATAAAAATAAAAATAGGCCGGGTGTGGTGGCTCAAGCCTGTAATCCCAGCACTTTGGGAGGCCGAGACGGGCAGATCACGAGGTCAGGAGATCGAGACCATCCTGGCTAACACGGTGAAACCCCATCTCTACTAAAAAATAAAAAAACTAGCCGGGCGAGGTGGCGGACACCTGTAGTCCCAGCTACTCGGGAGGCTGAGGCAGGAGAATGGCGTAAACCCGGGAGGCAGAGCTTGCAGTGAGTCGAGATCCGGCCACTGCACTCCAGCCTGGGCGACAGAGCTAGACTCCGTCTCAAAAAAAATAAAAAAAATAAATAAATAAATTAATTAACAAATTGCATAAAGACCTCATAATGTTTTTAGAAAGTTTACAAATTTGTGTTGGGCTGCATTCAAAGCCATCCTGGGTCACATGTGGCTCACAGGTTGGACAAGCTTGCTCTAAAGTCTTGCTACCTAGAGGGACTCAGACCATTCAAATGGATGCCATAGAAACATGAAAGAATGCAGGTATCTCAGAATAAGAATGTATTGTTCTGGTGAACTGACTGTGTCTTTTTAAGATGTCACCATGTGACTGCTCTCTAATGCTGCTCTCAATTGTATATGCCTGCACAGAGATGGTCAAAAAGCCCTATACTATTTATACTTGTTTTCTTTATGGACTCACCTGCTTATTTCTTTACTTCACTTAGTTTGGATCCTCAGACTTGAAGTAAAAAAAACTCCAGAGATTACAAATCCCATCTTTTAGCCATAGTTATGTGCTCTTTTCTCAAATCTGAAGTACTTCTGAATTAAGAGAAATAAGCATTTGTCAATTTCATCATTACTAACCTGCATTTCATATTTCAGAGTCATGTGGAAGCACCAGGATCCCATTCCTACCACTGAAATTAAACAAATGAAAAAAAATTAGCATGAAATTCTTTGTGCGTGGCCAGAGTGACCTGAGAAGACAATAAGACATTTCAAAGCATTGAGTTAAGGATAATGAAGTTTATAAAATCTAGTGGCAAGATATAGCTGACTCTTGAGTAAGTGCTATCATTGATGAAATTTTGGTGTAGAAAAGAAGTACTATGTAAGTTCTCTTAAATTCCCTCCTACTAAGTGACTTACTAGACTAACAATATTCCATTGTTTCTGTAAAATGTATTATCTGATGCTCAGGATAAGTTTTAATGCACGTAGCTGGTTAGCTACTCCTTTGCACTTCTGTCCCAAATGGCTAAGGTATATGCTTAGTAAGAGCTGGTCAGTTTGTTCCTGAACTTGTTGATGCCATTGTGTTTGGGTATCAAAACTATGACTGCAAAAAGAGTTGTTGCTTCTCCAAGAACTATTTAAAATGCTTAAAGTAGACTCAATAAAAATGAGTTGCTGGCCAGGCACGGTGGCTTGCGCCTGTAATCCCAGCACTTTGGGAGGTTGAGGCGGGTGGACCACGTGAGGTCAGGAGTTTAAGACCAGCCTGGCCAACATGGCGAAACCTCGTCTCTACTAAAAATTTAAAAATTAGCTGGGCGTGGTGGCAGGCCCCTGTAATACCAGCTACTCGGGAGGCTGAGGTAGGAGAATCGTCTTGAACCAGAGAAGAGTGTGCAGTGGTAGCTGAGACTGTGCCACTCGTGCACTCCACGCCGGCCAAGAGCATACAACCTCCGGTCTCAAAAAAAAAAAAAAAAAAAAAAGGTGCTAATAAAAATCATTGTTAATTATTGTGTTGGATATCTGTTAACCAGACGGGAAACAATAGTAAAACATCTAAAAAGATCGTACGGCAGGGCACAGTGGCTCAGCTTTGTAATCCCCAGCACTGTTGGAGCTAAGGCAGAGATCACTTGAAGTCAGGCATGTCTCAAGCACAGCCTGGGAACAGCATGAACTTCTATCCGTATTAATACCATAAAATCAATACATAAGTCAAATAAAAAATAAAAAGCATTCTCGTGTTCATGTGCCTAAGGTTCTTCCCAAGTGCCTACCATCTTTAAATGAACTATTTTCATTTTAGCGGTTTTTAAAAATTGTTGGTTTTTAAAGCAAACAAAGAGTAGAGTAGAACTCAAATTAGCGGCTCTCACTCCAATGGTCATGGCCCGTATGTTAAATAATTGCAGACGATAATTACAACAAGAAAATACACCTCAGCCCAGCCGCAGTTTCACTACCCTGTCAAATCCAGCACCTTTGGAGGCCCGAGCAGACAGATCACCTGAGTGCAGGATTCGAGATCACCCATCAACATGGTGAAACCACATCTCCTACTAAAAATATAAAAATCCGCGCGGGAAACAACTATAGTCCCAGCGCTACTTGGTAGGCTGAGGCAGGAGGATGCTTAAAACCTGGGAAATGGAGGTGCAGTGAGCTCGAGATTTGGGCCACTGGCACTCCAGCCTGGGCTGATACGAGTGCAGCACCTTCATCTCACAAATAAAAAAACAAAAATT